TATGTAGGCTGGGCTTGTTGTGCAGTGGTAGAGCAGTTTCCTGGCACATGTGAGGCCCCGAATTTAATCTCCAGCAATGCAAAATAAATAATGAAATGCTATTCAAGCATTTCAATATTTTCTCCAGAAATCTCCATAACCAGATCTACATTTATTAGGTACCTATTCCGATCTTTCATGTAACTACAGGCTCATTTAGCTAACTGCTCTTCCAATTCCTAAACCAATCCAGCCTGTAATAACAATATTTTCACTGCCCTGTAAATATTCTTCATTGACAGGCTCTTCAAGGTTTCTCTAGCTTCCACTGCTATCTGATCCCAAAGCCACTAATGTGCCGTGGGTTTGCATTACACCAGGACCCCACTTCTAGGCATGCAATTACATTTCAGTTATGTATTGCTGTATAACAAGCCACCTTAAATCTCAGTGACTTAAAACAACAGCACTTTTTATTTCTCTCTCTCTTTTTTTTTTTGCTACCAATCTGCAATGTGTGTAGTTTGCTGAAGAAAAATAATCTATGTTCTATTTGGCATTGGTTGAGCAGCTCAACTAGGGCTTGAACATCTATTTCCAAGATAGTTTACCCACAAATCTGGTGTGTTAACCACCTTTCCATCACTGTGATTAACTACCTGAGACAAACAGTTTAAAGGAGGAAAGGTTTATTATGGCTCACAGTGTCAGAGGTTTCAGTTCATGGTTAGCCAGCTCTGTTACTTTAAGCTTTTGATGAAGCAGAAACATTATGGCAGAAGGGTATGGCAGAGGAAAGGTGCTCATCTACTTGCAGCCCGGAAACTCAAGAAGAGGTTAGGGACAGAATCTCCGTCAAAGGCATGCTCCAGTGAACTATTTCCTCCAAGTGGGTCCAGATCACCTTATAACAGCCCATTCAGCTATCAACACATCAATCAGTTGATGGGGTTAGTACTCTGATGATGCAGTCAACTTTCAAACCGCCATCAGACGTGGGGGCTATAGAACACTGGTGCACTGAGGATTCCTCTCTTAAAACATGAGTCTTTTGGGAACATTTTTTTTTTCTTTTTTTCTTTTTTTCCCAAGGCAGGGTCTCATTATGTAGTTCAGGCTGGCCTTGAACTCACAGCAATACTCCTGCCTCAGTTCTCTGTGTGCTGGGATTACAGACATGCACCACCATGCCTGGCTGAACTTCATACATAAACCATAGTACCAGACCTGGATCCTCTATCATGCTATATCTCTGCCTGAGGCTGGTCCAGCTTCCTTAAATGACTGAAGGAAAGTAAGCACACTTCAGAATGTTTGAGGAAGTAAAAATCAGGAGAATGGTACACAGCTGTGCACACATATTTAATACTGAACTATACATTTAAAATGGTTAAGATGGTAAATTTTATGTTACATGTCTTTTTTCAATATTAGAAAAAAACAGAAGCTGGTGATTGCCCAGGGGAGGACAGCAGTGGGATGACAGAGAATTGTCAAGCATAACAAGAGCCAAGGAAACAGAATCTCTGGCCCTAAGAACTCCTTTGGCTTGAAACAGGATTCTAACAGACAATCTGACACAACACATGTGGTAGATATTGCAGCCTTCTGCTGCAAAGCTACAAAGGTACAAAGTCTGAGCCATGCAAATAGCCTCAAAATAGCCTTTTAATGTCTGCAATTCCCAGAGACAAACATGTAAGACATAATTACAGGTTTGGATTTCTTAATGCAAGCCTCAAAAGGAACACTGAAAGAGAAATGGTGATGAGCTATAAAAATTACAGGTGCATATGATATTTCCCCTTGAATCTGGCATGTAACCTTGTAAGCCAGGCAGAGATACAGTAGGGCAGTGGACAGGGGGAGAGGGCAGATGTTTCTTGGTCATTAGCCCAATTTTTCCAGGATATAAAAATCTCTTTGTTGTCCTATATTTTTTTAGTATGCCTGGAAACTATCGCTACTGAAGAGATCTCACTTTTGAAACTTTCTTTGAAGTAGTAAACAAGTCATCGCAATTATTTATAGCCTGAGTGAATGTGCATTCCTCCTCCCAACACACGCATCGTGCACACACGCACACTCTCCACGCACACACTTAAGTCACAAGGTTTTATAAACAATGAAGGTCTGTTTACAGATTTTCCCAAAGTTTTGTTGGTCATACATTATTCAACTTTTTTCCAAATAAGTCTAAACCATTCTTTGGGGAGATGACAGGAAACAGAAATCCTTTTCATCCAGGCATATAATCCCATCTCATCCACTCTGCTGAGAGCACAATGCATCCACTCCCAGCTCCCCAACTGCAGAGGTTAGGAAACCCTGTTGGCTTCTCAATTTTATTGCCTGATGTGTCAATATACTGATGTGAGTTTCCCTTTTATTTTTTGAGATCTCATCAATGGTCTCGTTTTAGTGACATTCTGTGGCTATTCTAAGACACCTCTGCTAATTCATTATTTTCTCTTGGATCTTGAATGAATCTAATCATGTCATTCAAGCCCGAGAAAAAGTAGCTGCTAAGATTTAATGTATTCATTTATTCCAAAGCAACTGAGCACCTACTATGTGTGAGGTATTTTCTAAATGTTGAGAACACAATGGACAACACTAAAGGAGGTTCCTCTCATGGAACTTATTTTCGTTTCTTATCCCAGAGATTTCTGACTTTTAACAATGGACAAAGTCCTGGTTTGGCCTAAAGATTTAAAAAAAAAAAAAATCCAATTCTATACTTGGAATTATGCCACCTTTCCCTGGATGGGGGTTGGGGAAAGTTCCCCCAGCATGGGAGATCAGACAACATGTTCCATCTACTCTTAAGTGGGGTCTGACTGGAACCATCAAGGACTAGATTAACTGTCATTTGTCTTGGGCCTCTGCCAGGCTCCAGTACAACAACGCCTTTCTGTGGGACACATTCAGTAACAGGCAAGAATGACCAAGAAAAGCAAAGTCCTGGGATTCCTGGCCAGCACAAGGGTCCAAGACCACCACTCAGCTATTGCTCAGGAAGATATTGCCCCCTCGTGGTTCCTCATGTAACAGGGAAAAGCTGGCTGTGAGAAGGGCTAATGGGTACAACCTACACATGGAAACACGAAGTTTCCCGATAAATCACAGCCTTGCTTCTGAATATCTTTGGTTGTAGTTTCCAGAGTCTTGGTTTATTTCTCTCCCGGATAAAATTTTGTTCCAATGGAAAGCAATGACATTATGACAGCAATTAAAGGACAGAAACATTTTTTTGTTGTTGTTGAAGTTCTTTTTCCAAACCTCCAGTTGCCCAAGAAAAACTCAATGTGTAAGTCTAAGCATCACTACTGTTCTTTTCATAGCGCCTTTAAACTTTAGTGGGAAAAAAGTGTGTGTGTGTGTGTATGCATGCGTGCATGCTTTCTATAATTTGAACCAGGATTCTGGATTAAGTAGCTGTGAGGTTGTTTGGGGTATCTTGTCTCCATAACACCACTTTAAACTCCCTCAAGGCAGGGCTCTTATCTTCAATTCCTGCCACCTCCACTCCAACACCAGCAGCACTTAAGCCAGTGTAGGGTAAAGAATTTCTAGTGGGGGTAAAAAGATAAACAGTTAAGCAAATAATTAGAAATTGTGATTGGTGCTGTGAGGGAAAGAACTTCAAGCTGTGCGAAAGAATTCCTAAGGGAGAAAAGTGAGACAGAATTTACTGAGAGTTTAAGCTTTCTAACTTTGCAGCAGTGGAATTTAAAAGCTTAATTGATCTAGTATTGGAAAAGCTCTCTTGGGCCCAGAGAAAATGGAAACTTAATAATAATGTTAGCTTCTATGTATCCTAAACCTAAACAGAACAAGAACAAAGCGCTAAATGCTCTGTAATCTCTCAAACCCTGGGAGAGAAATACAACGGTCCCATTTCATAACAGGGGAAACCGAAGCTCTGCGGGGCTTCTGGGTTTGTGGGCGACCACACCGAATGACTGCTGGGTACTTGGTGCTCTGAACTTCGGGAGACGGTCTGCGCAGTGCACAGCCCTTCCAGATCTGCTGGCAGCAGAGGAACAGTCACTTAACTAACTGCTGTGCACCAGGCAGCCCATTTAAATAGCCATAGGATTAAAAAGACAAACAGGGCAAGGTCTTGTGTTCCAGGAAGAAGCTCCCCAAGTGCGAGCCGGCCAGGTAAACAACTGTTCCAGAACAGTCTGGCGAGGGCTGTGCACGCAGCCCGACAAGGCTCAGAGCGCAGCGGTCAGCCGCCTAGCGGGAGAGGTTACCCAGGCCTCGGGGCCTTTGGGGTGCGGCGGAATTAAGTCCTTAAAAAAGCCCACCAGTTGTGGGCTGTCCTCGCTGTCACTCGAGTTCTCTCCTCCTGTGGTTTCCAACGGCATCCCAGGGAGGGAAGAAGTAGGTCTCTGGTACCGACGGAGAGGGCAGGCCCCGGGGCCCGGGTGCAAATCCCTCTGGAAGGGCAGGCGAACAAAAGTAGCCCCGGACCGCAGCGGGTGCGCTCACCGGCCGGGCCGCGTCCCGCCGTTCGTCGGGCCCGCGCAGGCGGACGGGCTCAGGGGCGCAGTGTCGGGGTGCGCGTTCCCTCTGCACCGCGGGGCCCAGCCCGGGACCCTCGGCCTCGTTGGGGCCGGGGTCTGAGCTTCCGCCCGGCCGCCGTCCTCCCCGGCGCGCGCCATCCGGCCCCTCCTCCCGCGGGGGGCTCCGCCGTCCCGTCCGTCCGGTCCCTGTGGGCTGCAGCCCACGTCCAGGGAGGGCGGAGGAAGGCGGAGGGAGGGGGCGGAGGGGGAGGGCGAAGGCGAGAGAGGGAGCCGCTTCCATCCCGTGCTTGCCAGAGCCTGCCAGGCGCGCGCTCCGCGGCGGTCCGGTCTCTGCGTCCCAGCCGCGGCCCGCGCCCCGCCGCCCCGCTCCTCTTCCTCCCGATCCGCCCCGGTCCCCTCCTTCGGCAGCTGCTCGGCTCGGGCGGCAGCAGCCCCCAGCCCCAACTCGGCTGCATCCCCAGGTCCCGGGACGCGCGCCGCGCCCCATCCTTTCTTCTCCCTTCCTGCCCGCCCGCCCGCCTTCCTCCCTCGCGCCCGCCCGCCGCCTGCCCTCTCCAAGTCCCTCCCGGTCCCGAGCGCCGCCGGCCCCGCTCCGTCGCCCGCGCCCGGCCCCGGCTCGCGCGCACACTTCCTGAGTCGCGGGCCGCCGCCGCCTCGCCGCGCCCCGCCGCCCGGGGAAGGAGCCGTGGGCGAGCGCGCCCTCGCCCAGCCCCGCGCCCAGCCCTGCCCGGGAGGAAGGACCGGGAAGATGAACAACAGCGGCAAAGCCGAGAAGGAGAACACCCCCGGCGAGGCCAACCTGCAGGAGGAAGAGGTACGGGGCGCCCGGGTCGGAAGTGCGGGCGCCGGCGGGAGCGGTCTCGGGGAGCCCGGTGCGCGCCCCGGGCGTGGACGCCGGAGGGCGTGGGGATCGGCCGGGCCCGAGACCGCCCCGCGCCGTGGCCCCGGACACCGGTGTCCGCCGAGCGTGGGTTTTTGTGTGTCCGCGCGCGTCTGCGTGCCTGCAGTTGCGTAACTTGAGGACTTTTTGGAGACTTTCGTAAGTATGAAGCTCAGCTTTGTTTGCCCGCGACTTTAAAAAAGCGGAATCGAGAGCTGGCTCCTGGGTGACCTCAGATGATCGGGACCGAGAGAGTCAGGACTTAGTTCTGGGTTCGGAGTTGGGAATTGAGGGGGAGGTGAAAGATGGTGAAGGAGGAAACTGAAGGAAAAGTTCTCGGGAAGAGGTATCTCCGTCCCCTGCCTCCTCCCTGCCTCTCGGGGTTAAAAGTTCTTGGTGAATATCTCTAGCTGAGACATTTTGGATTAATAGATAACTCATAAGCCGCATTCTTCTTCGATGAGTCAAAGCCCCCGGACCTGGGCGATTAGCTTTTGTAAATTTAGGGGCGATGCAGAATGGGGGAAGCAGAACAAAAAGGGTTAAAACTTAATTAACCAAATACTCCACGAGGATGTTCTAATAGGCTTTTGGCTTCTGAGCATACATTTTGTGTGCTGTGTCCGAAATAATGACTAAAAAAAGCTGTTGCGGCTGCGGAGCTTTCCTTCGGTGGAAACAAAATTTATTAAAAGTACGGACGTGGGGGTGCTGGGCGGGGGGCGGAGGCACAGAAGTTTCAGGATTTTGCGGTTGGGCTGTTTGTAATATCCTATCACACAGCTCTTCCTGCAGGTACATTGTGTGGAGTCCAGGAAGCCGTGTGTTTTCCTACTCTTTGAGACTCCCACATAGTTGAGATACAAACATTCACTGAAGAATTTTAAAGCGTTTTGCGAATGGAGAAAATGTACATCTCAGTATAACCTATATAAAGTTGTTAGAATGATTGCATCCTGTTAAAGAGGGTGAACGCAGAAAGTAAACTGTAAAGCAGTTAGGATGGTGGGATTATTGTAAAGACACTGTTGTGTACAAACTTAAATTCTGAGAGTGAAACCGAACATTTTGGAGAAATTTCACAAATACGTATATTACCTTTACGTGTTATCCATTTGTAAAATGGCAACTGTTTAAATTGGAGAGATACAGGAGGGACCTAAAAATCACGCAAAAACAATACAAAATAGATTTTACTCTTAACACAATGTGTGACAATACAACCTAGGTGAATTACATTAAAGCCGATAATTGCCTTATCTGAGGAAATTGCTTATTAAATATTACCTTGAAAAATTTGATTTACTTGTAATTTTATAACTTTAGGTGTAGAAATACCACTGACATTTTTCTTTGCTTTTTTTTTTTTGAAAGAGAGGGAAACTTGAATTGCAAGTTCTCTTTTCTTGGAAAGTTACTGGCTGGTTACCATTTTTAAAATGATAGCATGGTTCTCTTGGAATTGCTATATATTTAATTAACTTAACACATCAAGATAATCATTGCTTCAGAAACCTATTCCTGTCAGATTGGCAATCTGTTTACTTTGAAAGGTAAAAGAAAGTCTGGTGCAGAAACCACCTTTTCAGTCACTCCATTGAGAAAACTGGTGGATGGTCACAGTTACCAGAGTTAACCGGTTTTGTGTGTCTTTCCTAAATGCTATTGATTGGTAGAAGGATGGGTAGGTTTGTGTGTTCCCCCAAACTTAGCTATTTAATTTAAAGTTGCATAGAGGACAGTCAGCTTTTCTTTTGACCCATCTCTGCTGAACTGTTTTCAGGATTGAGGTCCTGCCCCTCATGTGAGCTTGCATGTAGTAAGTGCAGTGAACAAAAATGGCCGTGACGGGCCATCCCAAGTATATAGTCAGTGACTTTAACTTGTCCTATTGCTTGACAAAGTTCCTTTATAAGTAGGAATGCCGATGTATCCGTAATTTTTTTAAAAAGCAAAACACTTAAACATTTAAAAAGTAAGACAGTAGGAAAATGCCAGCACTCAATCTGTACACAAGGTGCAGAATACAAAGTAGATGGAGTTAGGTTTATAGTGTTAGAAATGCAGAGAAGGAAAATTGGCTTGAGTAACCCAGGTGATTTTGCAAACACCTCTTCCTCACCCAGCATTTACATTGTGTTTTTGAAAAACTGCTAGGCTTTTTTTCCTTTTCTAACCCTGAAAACCACAAGTAAAATAAATATGGTATTTGGTGAGTCTCTTAATATGCTCAGCATTATATAAAACCACAACACTGGACCCTTTCCCTGCCCACCCAGTGGGTCAGCAGTTTGTTCTCACACACATTTGAAAGCCTTGGCTCTGGCTTCTAGTAAACTGAACACACATATCAACATGTATGTGCATAATGACAACAGAGAAAAAATGTTTGATTGTGTTTTTGGTGGCAGTTAAGATTGATGTGGAAAACTGAGTTCAATTATAGTTAAGGGAAAATGTTTATTTCATAGTTCACTAGGGTGAGTTGGAGAATCCAGGATTTTAGGGGGCTGGAGGTAGGAGACAAGTTTCTTTTACCAACCAGTGTAGTTGAACTCCATTTGAGAATTTCTGATGGCTTATGCTGCAGTAATGATGCTTAAATGGTTACTTGGCTCCAGTGGCATACAATGAATAGTCTAGGATTCAGGAGCAGTTTTGCAGGTTTTTAGGGTTGGAGGTTTTTGAGAATTTGTGCCAAACATGTACATCTCCTTTGGATAGCACTTAAAAATTTGAGAAGAATAATTTAAGATTTAGTGAAGCAATGTTGTGAAAGAGATGATACACCTGGCTTCTTTGTTTTTTTTTTTATTGGTACCAGGGATCGAACTCACTACCTGCCTGCTTGCAAGGCAGGTGCTTATGCTGCTGAGCTAAAGCTCCAGCCCCCTGGCTTCTTTTCTGTAAAGAAAAAGTAATTACCACAAATCTTCTTGGGATCTGAGATTTATAAAATTTATGTATGTATATGTACAGGGTGTCTGATCATTTTTTTCGTCACTTCATGATTAAAGTAATTCCTTGAATTTGTGTTTGTGTGACTAGACTTTACTGTAAGTGAGCAAATATACAAATAAAATTCTGTATATTTGCCTTGTTCCTATTTTAATGTGTTTAGACATATTAGGATCTTTTTTGTGTTGTAAACAAATTATTTGTTCATGACTGAGTTTTCAAAATAGAAATTTCTTTTTTGCAAATCAGATAAATATGTACTTTGACTTTATTTTTAGTTTTGTTTTACTCCTGTCATTGGGTGCTTTTGAGGCCGATTACAAACTATTTCTTCCAGACATTTTATTATGTTGAGGTAGTTTTATTTAAAGTGTAAGTCGGTTCAGTCAAAGCTGTTTAAGGATAGATGACTTTAGAAAAGTGAAAATCTTGGCACGGTTGGAGTATTGATCGAAAAGATGTTTGGCAGATGTTGGGCAGAAATCACATTAAGTCAGATCTTTAGAGGTTCATACGAATCTTTACTTCACATTCGCTTCACATTCCTTCTTCACAAGTGCTTAGTAATTTTGCCAAGAAATTGGGATTTCAAAGAAAAAAATTTTGTAATTGGCAGAGAAAGAGTAATGTCTGTGATGGGCCATCTCAGGTTTTCCCTGAGCATTAGGATTAACTGCATGATTATTTTGGGATGGTACAGACTAGATTTTTTTCTAAACAGTATAACCAAATTTGGAAGTTTCTATTATTCTGAAGCAAATTTAATACAATAAACTTGTATTTCAATCACAGAATAGGATTTGGTGACAGTGATTTGGATGGAAATGTAGTGACCTCATAGTGGAATGGTGTGGCAAGACCCCTGCCAATATGGCTTGCACTTGAGCTGTTTGCAAAGGCAGCTTTGTAATTTCCCTGGTAAACCTTTGTACTCTTACAGTGTTATTTCCAGTGGCATTTATTTGTTTGGTTTGGTTGAGGTAGAGGTTGTTTTTTGGAAATGCTTTTATATTTATTTTATATTATGGTTTTTAGACCCATGAAATTTTGCTTTGAGGATAAATATTTTCAGAGCTGGCCATGGGGCAATAAATTGGGAGCTTGTGTTATGTGTCAGTGGTGATACAGAGTAATGTTGCATTTCTGAAAAAGACTGGAATTATGTATCAAAATGTGTTCCAGCACTTTGTAAAGCTTAGTACTTTTATTATTACGGATTTAAGGAAATAGAGTATAATAAGGTTTTATTTATAGAATGATTATTACAGTTACTCATAATAGTGAAAATTCACGAAGACTGTGTCTAACAGGGAAATTGCTAAGCAAATCATTATATAAATCCAGGAAGGAGATATGCAGCATTAATGTCTGTGCTTTTAAAGGGAAAAATATATTTTGTACATAAACATTATCTATATATCTAATTATAACATATATAATATATGTATATATATATAGATAGATATAGATATAGATATAGATATAGATATAGATATAGATATAGATATATAGATATCAGAAACTTACTGTTTCACAGTTCTGGAGACCAGAAATCTGAAATCAAGGTGTTTGCAGAACACTGCCTCTAGTAAAGTGGTAAGGACGTATCACTTTTTGTTTTTCCTAAGGATTGAATCTGCAGCTTTCTCATTGGAGCAACATCCTTAGTCCTTTTTTAATCTTTTATTTTAAGGCAAGTTCTCACTACATTGCCTGGATGGGCTCGAATTTGCAACCTCCCTGACTTAGGCTCCCAGAGTGCTGGAATTACAGCTAGGAGTTCCAAGACCAGCTAGGAGTTCCTTCTTCCCTCTCAGTTTCTGGTAACTCTTGATGCTCTAAAGACTACACTAAAGGAAGAACTCTCCAGGTTATAACATTAACTGGAAAGAGCAGATTTTAAGCGTTTTATATGATGCCAGTTCTTTAAATATATATGTAAAAGCAAAAATAAAATGTATGTGGGTTACATGTAA